TAGAACTGGGAACACCAAGAGACATTTCATCCCCACCAACACTACCACAGCCAAAAGGAATTGCCTCCAGGACTTTCCCCTGGGTCCTATTATTTTTCCAGCATGTTCCACAGTTACGGAGGTATCTATTACTGTTTATTAATGTACATGTTTATGTGTATAAATTATGCTTGTCTAGCTAAATCCAGAGTAAATTCCATACTCTCAGTCTAGAATCCCAGATTTAACTCCACAGATCCCATGATGTGAAACTCCTAACCTAGCACCCAAGCCCTAAATAAACTTGGATGAATTCTTAGGCTTAGCCTGGGAGAGTTGTAGTAACCATAGTAGTAGAGAGGTCCAAAAAGCAAAAACAAGCAAATGAGCAACTTGCCTATTACTTAAACAACGCTGGCTTTCCAAACTGCTATTAATTTTTTTTGTTTGTTTGGTCTTGATCATTACAGAGTCAAAAAACTATGGTAATCTTTTTTATCTTTGAGATTTAACCACACTAGGGAACAATAAATATTTGGCATTTTGATTTTTTTTTTCCTGGTGGTCGTGGTAAGCTTCAAACCCCTGTTGTACAATTTATTAGTTCATTTTTTTTTTAATCTTAGTTATGTTCGGTTGTTGCTTTAAGTAAATATTGCTTCCTTTTAGTTATAGGAAGGGGACACTTACTTTTACTCTCACCAAGATATAGGTTCTGAAATAAGATCCTGCAGGAATCCTTCCCAATTTAAGAGGTTTACCTGTAACTGGAGATCTTTTTTTTTTAATTTTATTTATTTATTTGACAGAGAGAGACACAGTGAGAGAGGGAACACAAGCAGGGGGAATGGGAGAGGGAGAAGCAGGCTCTCCGCTGAGCAGGGAGCCTGATGTGGGGCTCGATCCCAGGACCCTGGGATCAGGACCTGAGCGAAAAGCAGACGCTTAATGACTGAGCCACCCAGGTGCCCCCGGAGATCTTTGTAGATGCATAGCAGCAATCCATTTGAATTACTCCAACTTGGGATGACTATGTGTTCTCCAAAAACAGTTCACAATTGTGAACTCGACGCATTCATGACATCAAGGGAAATATACCTACAATGACCATATGAGTAATGAAAAGTTAATCACAGAAGAAGGCCACCTTTCTGTGCTATTATGTATTCTGGCAGAGGAAGGGTAAAAGTTCACCTCCCAGAAGTTAAGTTTACCTACAATGACATGGTGAAAAGTTTTGTTTTGTTTTTTAAAGATTTTATTTTTAAGTAATCTCTACACCCAACATGGGACTCGAATTCACAACCCTGAGATCAAAAGTCACACACGCCACAGACTAAGCCAGACAGGTGCTCCTGGTGAAAAGTTTTTTTTATTAATATGGAAAAATATCTTATAATAGGAAATAAAAAGGGGCGCCGGGGTGGCTCAGTCGTTAAGTGTCTGCCTTCGGCTCAGGTCGTGATCCCAGGGTCCTGAGATGGAGCCTACGTCAGGCTTGTGTTCCCTCCCTCGCTGTCTCTCTATCAAATAGGTAAATAAAATCTTAAAAAAAAAATAGGAAAGAAAAAAGGCAAGACACAAAATTTTATATTTATCTACTCCTCAATTCTAATTATTTACATATTCATGTAAAAAATAAATACATATTTATTCTCTTTGACTATAATAATTATTGCTCCCCATCTCTATGCTTATGTATCTGCCTTTCAGTATAAGAAGGTGGTATAGAAAAAACACACCCTTGAAGATGTAAAACTACATGAAAATAACAGACTGTTAATACAACTTTTTGCTGAGGGGCAGCTGGGTGGCTCAGTCGTTAAGCATCTGCCTTCAGCTCAGTTCATGATCCCGGGGTCCTGGGATCGAGCCCCACATCGGGCTCCCTGCTCGGCAGGAAGCCTGCTTCTCCCTCTCCCACTCCCCCTGCTTGTGTTCCCTCTCTCACTGTGTCTCTCTCTGTCAAATAAACAAATAAAATGTTAAAAAAAAAATACAACCCTTTGCTGAGATGTGAGAAAATGGAATAAGGGAGGCTACAAAATTTTTAAAAATTATATGTCGAGATAGTAAATGCTGGTTCAAAAATTTCAAAAAGAAATAATATCCACATAGCAAAAAATACGAGTCAATCAGCCTCAGTAGATAACCACATAGCAGCAATACTTTCTAAATAACTCAAGAATAAGATTCAGGAGAATGGGCTTTTAGTGGTTGGGTCAGCTTTGTTTTGGAAACGAATCCTTTCCAGAACTTCCATTTATTATTTTGATTACACATATATTTAATGCCATTTTAATGGCTCTTTGCCAATCCCTTATTTTTTCAGAGATTTTGATCTTTCAATTTTGCAGTTAGCTGGGATTACTATACACAAAAACAGTATCTAACACATATCTCACACTTAGTATCTGACACTGTGTCAGATACATTCACTTAATCCTCAAAACTGTGAAGTAGATATTATTATTATCCCCATCTTATAGATGAGAAGACTAAGGCATAGGGAGGCTAAATAATTTGCCCAAGGATGCACAGCTAGTAAAATTTTTAAAGGACTAGAAGGAAATACACCAAGCTATTGATGGTGGTTTCTCAGGGGATAGGTTTGTAAAGGATTGTTAAGAGAGATGACACGACGAGATAAAATCTTGAGCTCAGACAGAGACAGCTGAGCTCGAACAGAGAGGACAGATTCCGGATCAGTTTGAGAAAATATGGGCAGAATTTGTGGATTGAGTCCAGGTAGGATTGAGGGAGAGGTGAAGGAGTCTAAGTAAGAATGGTTCCGCCTCTGGTTTGGTGACTGGGTGGACATGTTTACTAGGATAAGGAATATAGAGGAAAGAGCAACTTTGGGAGAGAAGATAATGTGCTGTTTTGATGTGTTGAGCTTTTTTTTTTCTTTTCTTTTTTTTTTTTTTTTTAAAGATTTTATTTATTTATTCATGAGAGACAGAGAGAGAGAGAGAAGCAGAGGGAGAAGCAGGCTCCCCACTGAGCAGGGAGCCCGATGCGGGACTCGATCCCAGGACCCTGGGATCATGACCTGAGCCGAAGGCAGACACTTAACCATCTGAGCCACCCAGGCGCCCGATGTGTTGAGCTTTATTGTAAGTATCGGAATAATCCCATTTTAAGCTCAAGAGAGAGGTCAGGTAGGTCTGCATTTAGTTGGTAGTTAAACCCAAAAGAGAAGTTGCCATAACCCAGGGAGAGTGTGGAAGAAGAAAAAGGCTGTGGGCCAAGGACAGTACTCGGAAGAACCTTCAACTATACGGGATATGCAGGGGATAAGATGGCCATTCAGATTTGACATTAAAATAACAAAGATATGAAATGCCAGATACGGATTTGCTTTTCAAGCTTGGTTTCATTTATGAGGTAGCATGGAAGTAGGGCAGGGCAGTCAGACAAGTTTGGGTTCAAATCTAGCACTTGGCCTCTAAGTAGCTCCGTGACTGTTGTCAAGTTCCTAAGTCTAAAATGTGAATGATTAATATGCTACTCATACTGTTGTGGGTATTAAATGAGTTAATCCACAAAAGCACTTATATGGAACGGTGCCTAGCATGTAGCGTGGATCCAATAAATATTAGATATTATCACCGAGTACACAAATCATAAAATTGTTTTTCATTCCACTGTTGTAGTTCGGTTGAGAAAATGGGTCAGGAAGTTTGCTGGAGAGCAGGAATAACTACAGTGGAATTAAACAATTGTGTTTAAACAATTAAACAAAAGCCACCATAGGAATTCAGGCACTCAAGAACTGGTATTTTCCATGAATTTGTAGGGTATAGTATAAGTGGACAGAGGTAATAAAGGTTGGTTAAAACAATGAAAAGGGACTGATAGAAATGTTGATACATGAGCTACAAGACCGCATTAAAATTGTTTTGTTCTATTCTAAATACTCAACAACTAGCACCCCCCGTGCTTGGCACAGAGTAAGCCGTCAAAAAATATGTTGACTGAAAATAAAAGAGAGGGGTTGATTTCTTTTACCTGCTATTAAACATTTCACTATTGGAATAATTAACATGCAAAGAAAAGGAGACATGCCCGACGTGTTGTCATTTGAGAACTCTCAGAAGAGTTTGACTAATGCAACTCCTCTCCCAGCAGTACCTGCCACATACTTGAAATTCCCAGCCTTGGATGTCCTCCACTGGAACACGGATTAGGGTCCACAGAAGGGCCCCTTAAAATGCAAGTATGTCATCTGTGATCGGGAACCAACGTGGCTCTGGCAGACAGACACTTTCATCAGCCCTGTGTGAACCCGGAGGCCTCGGTCTGAGCTGATCCCGCGGAGTCGGCCTCGGCAGACGCCCGGGCAGCGCCGACCACCCGGCTTGCGGGGCGGCCCGGAGGCAGGAGCAGCCAGCACAAAGGCAGCGCAGGGAGGATCTCCGGCGGGGTGGGCCGCCCGCACGCCCGGGCACCTCGAGCCTTGCAAACACCCGCAGCCCAGGTCAGGATGACCGCCGCCATAAGGCTGGGGCATAGCGACCGGTGTTCATTCTCAACTCATTTTTTGCATCAAGCACGTAAGGGCTGGGGAGGTGGCCAAATCGGGGTAAAATCTGAAATGTCTTTTTTGTTCTTTTTGGTTCAGCCAGTTTAAATTCCACGCCATCTTTTAAGCGGTGGGCCAATATGTATTATACAATTCTCCGTCTGCCTTTTCGAAGGCACCTGAACTTAGAAATACAGACCACGCTGCGGTCCCGGGGGGTGGGGACGGGGGGCGGGCGGGGACAAGTCCGAGCTAGGAGCACACTTCGTACTCAACGTTCCGTCCTCGGCTGGGTTGGGGAGGCAGCCCCGGTTCCGCCTCCGCCTCGGCACTCTTCCTGCCCCAGCGGGTCCTGTACTCGCAGAAACGCCCGCGCGCACCCGGCGGGGGGCGGGGGGGGCGGGGCGCCAAGCCCAGGCCGTCACGTCCCGAGCGTCGAGGGGGCGGGGCCTCGGGCGATGGCGTCACGAGACCCCGCCCGCGCCGCCCTGCTCTCTCCCGCGCCGCCCGCCATTTTGTCTCCAGTGTCTGGTTTGCGGTCGTCGGCGTTGGAGGAAGCGTCGTGGTCCGTAGGCTTGAGGCAGGGAACGGGGTCTATTGTCTGTGTTTGACTCCGTAGTTTGGTCCGAGGCCTTCCGCGTCTTTCCCGGGGCAGTCGGCAGAGGCTCCCGCCACCGCCCCCGCCCCTCCCCTCCTTCCCCCGGTCCGGGAGGGACCGAACCCGCGTCACGCCCCTCAGCGCTCGCCGATCCCTTCTCTGTCGTTGCGTCCGCATCGCGTCCCCGGAATCAGACGGTGCCCCATAGATGGCCAGCTTTCCCCCGAGGGTCAACGAGAAAGAGATCGGTGAGGAATGGGACGGTGGGTGAGGGGTGCTGGTGAGCTCGCCGGGGCTGCGGAGAGGCAGGGAGTCCCCGGAGGAGGAAGCGTCTGAGTCTTAAGTGAAGAAGGGTGAGCCGGGGCCAAGCCCTGGAGGGAAGAGGAAGGAAGCGGCCCCTCCGGGGGGTGTCGCCCAGGGCTAAATGGGGTCGACATTGATGCAGCACCTACTGCGCGCCCGGCTCGGCGGGAGGCAGTGGGCAGATACTCGGGTCCAGGGGAACCTGGGCGCCCAGGGCCGTCCTCATCGTGCGGCCGGGGGTGGACACCCACCCTCGGGGGACCCCAATTTCCTCTAAAGAGGCCCGTGCACGGCCGTCCTGGGATTCTCTGGGGCGTCGAGTGGATAGGCGAGTGCTGGGCAAGTCCTGGGCTCTCTGATTTTACGACGGGAAAAGTAAACTTAAGTGTTCGGAGTGTAATGAAAGGGGAGGGGGTCCTCATGTATATCAACCAGTCTTAAAGGAGAAATGCGACCGAAGAGGTGCCATCAGCCTGGAAAAAGCAAAAAATGGTGTGGCGTTAAGGCAGCGGTTCAGGGGAGGAGGCTCAATTATCTTTTCTACACAGAGGAGCGGGGAGGAGCAGAATGGTTGGGTGGGGTGATAGAAGAAAAGCTTTTGTATGAAAGAGCACTCTTGGAAAAGGCTGTCTAGAAGCTGGTCTAGAGGCTAGCCCCTGCTACAACGAAGTCAGGGCAGTAGATCCGGGAGGTTTGCGTGAAGACCGCCTCGGGGGCTCCGTTGAGAGCACCTCACATTTAAATTCCCTCTTACGGGAAAATAACCGGAACAGTTCCGGGGAAGTTAGAGCTGTGCATTGATGGGTAGGCTTAGTAAACATTGAACTTAAGTCATATTATACATCTTATATATGTACAGTTTCCATTTAAAAAATAAAACAGTTTTAGCACCCCTCCAACAAAAAGTCCAACGCTAAACTTACTGTGTTAATTAAATGAAAATTGGAGGTGGCTTCTGAGCAAAGACCCTCTGCATTTCCCCGTTCTTTATGTATGCCTTTAAATACATGGAGGAGGTATTTCTAGAGAGAGGGAGAAGCTGAAGTAGCCTAAAGGCCCTCCATCCTATATGTGGGTTCAGTTTTTATATCTAGAGACAGCTCTCAGAATTCTGGACTTTTGTTCTGAAGGATAAGGTTGAATGACAGGTTAGGAGGGGACTTTAACCCTGGTTCTAATAACTATTTTAAGTATACAGAGAAAACAAAATTCATGCCTAATTTTATTTTGGTATTTTAAGACTATTAAGTAGGTCCTAAAGTGGAACATGGAACCCAAAAGTTCTTATTCCTAGTCCAGTGGGCTTTTTTCCTCCTCTCCTATACAATAGTATCACAGATAAGTGATCTGCCTTTCATTTATCTGTTTTACTTCATCTTGATGAACTATTCTGAAAACTTTCCAGTCCTGTCTTCTAAGGGCTGGATAGAGCTACTGAGCACACCTGCATAAGGTAGAAGAACCATCCACTAAGTAGTAGCCTTTTCAGTTTAAAAAAAAAATTGTTTTTTAAGATTTTATTTATTTATTTGACAGAGACAGAGATAGCAAGAGCAGGAACACAAGCAGCGGGAGTGGGAGAGGGAGAGCAGGCTTCCCTCCGAGGAGGGAGCCCGATGTGGGACTCGATCCCAGGACCCTGGGATCATGACCTGAGCGGAAGGCAGACGCTTGACTGAGCCACCCAGGCGCCCTTCAGTTAAAATTTTTCATATTTAGTTAGGTGTCAGTGTTATTTCCTGGCTGTAGTATAAAATTATTAGCCAAGTCCCAAATATCTAAATTTTGTCCTTTCCTAAGCTTTAGGAAAAAACAAAACAAAAAACCCAAAACCCAGTTTTTGTTTCTTTGTTTCTTTCTTTACTTTGGAAGTACCATTTGGATACAGAGCGAAACAGTAACATCTCTATGTAGCTTTTTATCTTTCAGTAAGGACTTAACTTTTCCCCTCTTTTCTTGGGTATTAATTACAGCTCTCTCTTTCTCCAGTACTGAAAGAGGAGAGGCAAGATTCTTTGACTGATTAAAGAAGTCCTGTGAGACAGGGAGTACTGCCTGGAGCCACGGCCCTCTTTCACAAGGCACTATACCAGATCCTCCCTTTCTCGTTATGAAATTGCGGAGAGGAATGTGAAGAAGGAGCTAAATCTGGTTCACTTGGTTCAGCCGTTAACTCAGTGTGTTACTACTGTACAGATAATGTAGTGTATTTTATGGCCGAGTTCCCATGGCAGGCAGCTTTTCCCTTATACAAGGTCATTAAATCATATATTAAACAGCTGCAGGTAATAAAGGTTTAACTTAAAAAAAATTTTTTTTAAGGGGCGCCTGAGTGGCTCAGTTGGTTAAGCGACTGCTTTCGGCTCAGGTCATGATCCCGGCGTCCTGGGATTGAGTCCCACGTGGGGCTCCCCCTGTTCTGCGGGGAGCCTGCTTCTCTGCCTGCCATTCCTCCTGCTTGTGCTCTCTCTCTGTCAAATAAATAAATGAAATCTTTAAAAAAATAAAATTAAAAAAATTTTTTTTCAAAACACTTCATTATAACCTTGCGCTACTTGATAATACTGTACCAGTAAGTATCAAAATGAGTGTTTGAATCATTTGATGCAAAGATCATTTGGGAAAATAGAATCATTTGATAGACCTGTTAACAAGGAAACACCAAGCTAATTATTAATAACTTGAGACAGCATAGCATCTATTTGGTCATTTTAAAATACTGACCCCAGGGGCGCCTGGGTGGCTCAGTCGTTAAGCGTCTGCCTTGGGGTCCGGTCATGATCCTGGGGTCTTAGGATCAAGCCGCGAGTCAGGCTCCCTGCTCGCCGGGAAGCCTGTTTCTCCCTCTCCCACTCCTTCTGCTTGTGCTCCTGCTCTTGTTGTCTCTCTCTCTCAAAATCTTTTAAAAAGGGCGCCTGGGTGGCTCAGTCGGTTAAGCGACTGCCTTCAGCTCAGGTCATGATCCCAGGGTCCTGGCATCGAGTCCCACATCGGGCTCACTGCTTAGCAGGAAGCTTGCTTCTCCCTCTCCCACTCCTCCTGCTTGTGCTCTCTATCTCTCTGACAAATAAATAAATAAAATCTTTAAAAAAAACTTTTAAAAAATAAAATAATGACCCCATTTGTTGAATTTCTGTATGTTTAAGAATAAATTAGCTTAGGGGCGCCTGAGTGGCTCAGTCATTAAGCACCTGCTTTCGGCTCAGGTCATGATCCCAGGATTCTGGGGTCGAGCCCCTGGGCTCCCTGCTCAGCCGGAAGCCTGCTTCTCCTCCCACTCCCCCTGCTTGTGTTCCCTCTCTCACTGTCTCTCTCTCTGTCAAATAAATAAATAAATAAAAATCTTAAAAAAAAATCATTCTGTAGGCATATGAGGGTCACTGGTTTGTGGATTTTAAGAAAGGCATGTAACTGCTGATGAAAGTAATGTCATCTTAATTGGGGTGAGTAGGTGGGGGCTCTGCTGCTTTGATCAAACCACACCTGAGGTATTGTTTAGTTCTGGGTGCCACTTTTATGAAGACCATTACCAACTGGAGTTTCTCCAGAAAAGTGATGAAGGCGAAGTTGGAGAATGGACTTGAAACCATGTAATCTAAGGAATGATTGAAAGGCCTATGGAGTTTAGCCTGATGAAAAGATTTAGTTGCTGATGTCATGGCTGTCTTCAATATATGACTATCATGTGAGAGCAGGATTAAGCTTACTCTCTTAGGTCAGAATCGGGAATGAGTGGGTGGAGTGACAAGGAGAAGATTTTTGATAATGTCAGCTGCACAAAAATAGAATAAGCCTTATTAGGTATTCATATTTATGAATGTCAGAAATACGGGTCTCAATTTTTCTTTTTTTTTTTTAGATTTTTAATCTCTACACCCAACGTGGGGTTCAGACCTACAGCCCCAAGATCAGCAGTCACATGTTTTACCGACTGAGCCAGCCAGGCACCCCTCTTTTGCTTTTAAACCATAGCTCATTTGTTAATGTATCAAAAACTTGGACGAGGAAATGGTTGAAATCATTTAAGAATGGGAACTTACATATGTGCTTTATGTTTATTCAATAAATATTTACTGATCACCCGTCATATGCCAGGTGTTCCACTGGCTATTGTCAGAGCACACATTGAGACTTGAAGTGTCACCTGAATGAGTACATGGTGGGGGAGGGGGCGTTGTATGTATATGGTCTAGCAGTAAGAGTATAAGTGGTTCTTATATGAACTGCAATATTTAGGATATATGTAGTTTAGTTGTTGGGAGGTTTAAGTCAAAAACCTAAAAATACACTGTAAGAGTTAGCCAGACAACTAATCACAAAATAGTAGGGAAATTAAAGTGATACTAATTTATACCTAAGGAAGAGTAGCAAAATGTAAATCAAGACCAATCCAAGAAAGCAAGGGTGATACACTGACTGATAAAGATTCTTTCCCCAAATTGAGGAAATTCTGGCCAAGTTTGCATGCACACATCTACAGTAGGAGCTTGTTGATCATACTTCATGTTAAATGCAAAACAAAAAGTCTCTATATACTCCGGTAATATGACAGTTTTTGTTTTGAATGATTAAGTACTCTTTTTTTTTTAAGATTTTATTTATTTGAGAGAGAGTGAGAGAGAGAGTACAAGCAGGGGGAGCAGCAGAGGGAGAGGGAGAAGCAGACTTCCCATTGAGCAGGGAGCCCAATGTGGGGCTTGGTCCCAGGACCATGAGATCATGACCCGCACCGGAGGCAGATGCTTAACTGACTGAACCACCCAGGTGCCCGTAAATTGAAGGACTCTTAACTAAATTAAAAATCTATGAGATTGTTTAGTCTCTGTCCTTAAAAACCAAAAGAATCACTTCCATTTTGGGGTCAGTTTATGGCCCATCATTAAGACACTTAAGGACCACTATTTGAGGATCACAAATGTGTAATGCATTTTAAAGCACTAGTTGGGAGATGGTACTAAATAACGTTTAAGTCCCTTCTAGTTCTAGGAGTTTTGTGATTTTTTTTTTTTTTTTTGGTGACCTGGGCCTCAAAAAATACTCATGTGGGGGCGCCTGGCTGGCTCAGTTAGTGGAGCATGTGACTCTTGGTGTCGGGATTGTGAGTTCAAGCCCCTCATTGGGTGTGGAGATAACTTAAAAAGTAAAATCTTAAAAAAAAAGAATATTCATGTTTAAATAGACCATTTAATAGTGCTTTCCTTTGAATAATGATACAATGTATTTTATAGTGGTTTGTGGTTTTTGAAAACTACAAACTTACTGGAGGATTCGTTTCTTACAAAGTTAGCCTGTTGCACTTTAAGTGTTAGTAATTTGATGAAAACATAAGGCAATGCAAAAGTCAGGACTTTAGTAATTGCTAACCCTGACATCATTACATTATTATCGCTTAACCAGTTTTTTTTTTTTTAAAATTTTTTTTTTTTTTTTTGTGAGAGAGGGAATGAGATAGACAGAGAGCACTAGAGGGAAGAGGGTCAGAGGGAGAAGCAGACTCCCCACTGAGCAGGGAGCCCGATGCGGGACTCGATCCCGGAACTCCAGGATCATGACCCGAGCCGAAGGCAGCCGCCTAACCAACCGAGCCACCCAGGCGCCCTATCACTTAACCGGTTTTTTATTGAAGCTTTCTAAACAAGCTCTTGGGTGGGAGATGTTAAAAATCACTTTATCAAAACTGGAAGATAGTTATTATCATTAAAGGGTCTTCACAGCACATTATCTCCCTTCAGAGGGTAGAAATCAGAACTCCTTATGCCTTGTCTGCGTGGAAACTCAATGGAGTTGAGAGTCCCAAATTAATAAGGAGGCAGTCTCAAATTTATTATTGGTTATATGTGACATCCTATATATTTTTTTCTTTTAGTGAGATCACGTACTATAGGTGAACTTTTAGCTCCAGTAGCTCCTTTTGACAAGAAATGTGGTCGTGAAAATTGGACTGTTGCTTTTGCTCCAGATGGTTCGTACTTTGCTTGGTCACAAGGACATCGTACAGTAAAGCTTGTTCCGTGGTCCCAGTGCCTTAAGAACTTGTAAGACTCTCCTCTTTTTCTGTATTTTGTATCTCTTTGTAGAATTTACTATTTTCTGTGTGGAGTAATGAAAAGATTTTGATATTTAAGTTTTTCCTTTGTAGGCTATCGTAAATGTATTTTAATCATAAGCTGAACATATTGGAAAATTTGTGGGAAGAATTGTTTGGCCTTATACATTATAGAATACTTTCTCAGATGCTTTTGTGTCTTTGTATTAAAAAGCAGATTACTGGTTCCTTGGTAGTATATATATTGCATTGTGCCAGGGCAGGTGACCTTTGTTATGTGATGCTTTTTGGATTTCACAACATTTTATTAGATAACAGTGTTATGGTGATCGTGTACTTATTTTTTATGTACTTACAGTTCCTCCGGTGGATTTATTTGTTGAAAGTTTTTCTAAAATATATATTAAATTTAATGTCTCCCTCCTTTTTGTGTCTAGTTGACCTTTATATAAATATCTTAAGTTATTAGGTTTTTTGTTTTGTTTTTTGCTTGTTTATACTTATTTTAGGTTAGCTAAAGGAGTCCTAATTGATATAGTGGTTTTGAGGAAAATTTTGACACAAAGAAATTACACATTGCTTTATTGTTGAACTTAATCTCTTAGCAACTGAAAATGTCTTTTGATTTGAGTTTATTTGGTCATACGCTCATAGCTAATAGCAACTTTTCGCCTTCCCATCTGTAGAATTTGATTGTTATTCAGTATCACTATGATAATACTGAGGTTATTTTAACAAACATTTATCATTTAGTATCTGTAGGAGTACAGAGTAAATAATAACTAGATGTCAATATGACCTTTTTCCCTTCAGTCTCTTGCATGGCACCAAGAATATCACCAATTCAAGCAGTTTGAGATTGTCAAGACAAAACAGTGATGGTGGTCAGAAAAATAAGCCTCGTGAACATATTATAGACTGTGGTGACATAGTCTGGAGTCTTGCTTTTGGATCTTCAGTTCCAGAAAAACAGAGTCGCTGTGTCAATATAGAATGGCATCGATTCAGATTTGGACAGGATCAGCTGCTCCTTGCCACAGGGTTAAACAATGGACGTATCAAAATATGGGATGTATATACAGGTATGGGGCCATAGTTTGAAAAGCAAACCTGTTTATTTTATGATGCAGGGCATCTCTCCTAGGCACTAGAAGATGTGATTTGAGGATTTTAACTTACTGAAAAGCAAGAATTGGTTCTATGAATGTGTCTTTATGATTGGCCTGCATAGCATCTTCAGCTCATGGTTTTATTTTAAGAAAATAGAGTTCTCACTGCTTGGTCACTCTTCAGAGAATGTTACAGCAAGAAGGACATGTCTAAGGAATGTTTAGTTAATTATTTATAAATTAGTAACTTAGTTGATGGCTCAAATGGCAAGGTGTTGTCTTACATACTTTTTCAGTGAAAGCTTGGAGGCTTTCAAGGCAAATCTGGTTTTCAACAATCATTGTCTAACCTTTGGAAGTTTTAGTGACATTGTATCTAAAGTTTAACTAGATAGGTTGAGAAGTTAAATTCTTTGTGCAATTAAAAGTGAACGTGTTATTCACTGACTAAAACAGTTTCTGGCTGATAGTATATACCAAAAATGTGAAGGCATTTTTTTTTTTTTTAATGAGCATTAAAACTATGTAGAGTAGAATACAGCAGGTGATATTAATATTGAATGAGGATAATGAGTCAGTAAATTTGATTGGATTCTTAAAAAAACTTAGGGAAAGCACATAGATTTTCATAGAAAACAACTCTCACAATATTAGATGAATAAAGTATATTTTTTCACTGATTATTTTTGAAAATTTAGGTGGTTGTGAGATAACATGAATCTTCTGGGGAGTTTGACAGTCTTTTAGTAATTCAAGAAAAAGAAAAGGGAAAATTGGATTTTATATTTAAAATCATACTATACAAAGATTAAAAAGTTGTGAGGTAGGTTTTCCAGATGGTAAATTAACTTGTTTATATTTCAGGAATTCTCTTTAAGCTGATCTAATAAATTTAGGCTTTGTTATCCTGGAAATAATACATTTTACAACTGTGCAAATAGAGAATCTTTAAAGGTGATAGTAAAAGCACTATTAAGTCAGTTTACACTTGGGAAGCTAAGGAGGTGACAAGTATTTCTATATTATATGTTTTATGGTGAAGAACCCTATTTTAAAGAAAGAAGCTGATAAAAATTAACAACATTGTCTTTTTTCCCTCTTCCACTGCATTTAGGAAAACTCCTCCTTAACTTGGTAGATCATACTGAAGTGGTCAGAGATTTAACTTTTGCTCCAGATGGGAGCTTGATCCTAGTATCAGCTTCAAGAGACAAAACTCTGAGAGTGTGGGACCTGAAAGATGATGGTATGTCTTTTTTGCAGGCTGTGAAACAGAATGGGTTTCTTAACATGACGACTGAGAGATGTCAAGAAGTGTCGATCATTTGGGGCATTTGACTTTAAAAGTGGCCTGTGATCAAAGTTTCCTATTCTCTGCTTAATCGTTTGGTCCCTTTCCTTGTGCAGATCAAACGTAACCATAAATGTGACCCAGAACAGGAACCAGCAGTTATTCTAAACAATCTGATATTATTTAGAAACTAACCACACAGATCTGTATCAACTATATGAGGACAAAATCAATTTTAGCGTTTTATAAATGTGTTACTTTATTTTCTTCATCTTAGGGAAGGTTATTAACTTCATTTGATTAGCAAAAATTTAGATCTCGAAGTAACAAACACAATTTAGTAATCTAATAAAACTTAGATTAAGACGTTTACATACCAGGATTTATAGCTTCTAAAAGTTAATAAGCATACTAATAAGTTGGATAGGTTAAGTAAGAAATTATCAAAAAACTTGCTATCTGGTATAATAAAAGATATGTTAGGGATCCCTGGGTGGCTCAGTCAGTTAGGCAGCTGCCTTTGGCTCAGGTCATGATGCCAGGGCCCTGGGATCGAGGCCAACCTTGGGCTCCCTGCTAGGCGGGGAGCCTGCTTCTCCCTCTGTCCACTGCTCCCCCTGTTTGTGCACTCACTCACTCTCTGACAAATAAATAAATAGCTTTAATAAATAAATAAAAGTATTTTAGTGTTAAGTACTCAGGTTTTTCTGAAACTTTGTTAATTGCAGTGCATAGAAAGTTTCGGAGAGAGTACCTTATTTGAGAGGACCAGAGATGAGCATCTCTTTCCGCCTCTTAGCCACTAATAAGAAAGTTTACAGTTTTGGCTAACACCTTACATTTAAATAAGATCTGCTAGTCCTCTAACAGCCTCAGGCTCAAGGTTGAGGGCTTGCTTTGGAAGCATTGTGACTTAAATTGAATGTAGTAGGAAACAAAACTCTGAGGTTTGGAAACTTGTTCCAGCTGATGGGTAATAACCATTGCCTACTAAAATAATACGCTCATCTTACCAGACCACGATGGACCTCCTCTGCATTTTAGCATTCTTTGAATGCTCGGCTTTGAGGGATGGATGGAGAGATCCCAACAGTTATAACAGTTCGGTTATTAAATTTTTATTTTCTTTTGCATATCAAAAGCTGCTTGCTTTCTCAACACATTTTCAGTTGTGTGCATATGTTTTAAGAATATAGACTCAGGGCACCTGGGTGGCTCATTTGGTTAAGCGTCTCTTGATTTCAGCTCAGGTCATGATCTCAGGGTCGTGAGATCAAGCCACTTGTCGGGCTCCGTGCTGGGCATGGAGTCTGCTTGGGATTCTCTCTCTCCCTCTCCCCCTCCCCACCCCTCAAAAAAAAAAAAAAACCACAAAATATGGCCTCAGTAAAATGTAAACTCAAGAGAGTTGGGACTTAGTCTTACTCACAGCTGTCTCCTCAGTGCCTGACATACAGTAGACATTGAGTAAGTATTTGTAAAAATTAAGAGTTAAAATATACAGACATAATTGCTATAATACACAGGGGCTTTGGAGTGGAATATAGGTTATCAGAAAGGAAAAAGGATGAAAGGCATTTTGAAGGTGTTCTCAGATCTCAGCCTTGAAGTGTTACAGGTCCTTCATTTGTAGAATAAGTGGATCAGACTAAAAGAATTCTGTCTTCTGTAGGTGAAGGGTCAGCAGGTTTTTCCTAAAGGGCCAGATGATAAATATTTTAGGCTCGTGGACCATGCTATCTCTGCCTTAGTCACCTCTGCCATTGTAGCACAACAAACAAATGGGCGTGATTGTGTTCCAGTAGAACTTTATGAAATAATCAACTGGTTTATAGCTAACCCTTGTTACAGATAAATCACTGCTGCTCTTGAAGTGTGTGATTCTCCGATTCTGCCATTTTTGAAATGCTGCTCATTTGAAGTGAACTCTAGGGTTAATACAGGTTATTTCTTTTTGTTCAGGAAACATGATGAAAGTATTGAGGGGCCATCAGAACTGGGTGTATAGCTGTGCGTTCTCTCCTCACTCTTCTATGCTGTGTTCAGTGGGAGCCAGTAAAGCAGTATGTATCAAAGTTCTTGTACATTCCATGTGAGCTGGATTATAATGTGTGCATAATCGTTTTAAATCTAAGTAACTTACTAAGTCTGTGCTCGGTGTCATGAATGTCTTAAATATTTTATTTCACGATGGGGGAGAATTTGCATGAGGGAAATACAGTTATTGATTGTGGAGTGAGAAATTGGATTGCTTTTAGTCAGAGAATATTCGTAAAGTAAGGGGTATGTCAAATTTACTTCTTCTAAGATCTAGGAAAGTTTATGTGCTATAGAAGAGATCTAGTCCAAATGTTAAGACATTCCCGCTAATTATTTTCTTCTCTGTTGTTCTATTTTTTTTGTCCAGTTTGCTGTTTAAAAAGTTTTGATTCCCAGCTGGTCCTGGACATTTAACTGAAAAAAAGTAATTTAAAAATCTAATAATAAAAAGAGCACTCATGTATGTCTAGAGTGAATTATAGACGCAATCAACACGGTCTGTCTTGCATAGCATACCTGTGGACAGATGAAGTATAAAGTGACTCTTGAGAGGGTTATGCTTAGTCAGGAACTCTCTTTTAGTTGTCTACCAGCTCTTAGAATAATTAAAGAGATCTTATTAGCTTCAGATGTTTATGAAAAATGTCGAAGTCCAAATACATGGGATATTCAGAATACACTCTGAATTACTGGGGGTGGGAGGCTGGTTTTAAGTGCATTTTATTTAGCCAAGAAGTGTGTTAAAACAATAGTTGCAAATGTTAGAAGTTTAGAAAAAAAAGTATTCAGTTCTTTAAAAATCATAAGAAGAACAAAGCTAGATATTGACATTGCTATTTTAGGCTGTGTGTTTTCCATATGCTTCTTGCTTTCCCTGTCACAGGTGGTGGCAGCAATATTGGTGTGATTGAGGTTATGCTGGCACCACTCGCACACAGGCGCACAATGGTGTTAGCTGGGCAGAAAGAGTGGCATCTCTGGCTACCGGGCTGGGGGCGACCTTTACCATAGGATGAAGTAACCTTGCATTCCGCTGCAAGGTGTACTGTACGTACACAGGTGCTGGTCGATGTCCACTTTCTGCTTTTCTTTCTTTCTTTTTTTCTTTTTTAAAGTAATTTCCCCCCGCAGTGAAACCCACTGACTCCTCCAAGTAAATTGATCTTCCAGTCTCATGGAATTGGGAGTCTTGACATGTGAAACCAATTTAATGTAATGTAATTGGCTTTCAAATGGTTTCTCTGTGCTATTTTTTTGGAGTTCTTTGAGATGTTAAAGATACCTTAAGACTTTGATCCCACTTAAAATTTGTATGTATTTTTCTTTGGAAGTAATAATATTGTGTCTGTGCAGAAAAAAAGTAGCAAAAAGGATTGCTTTACTCCAAGAGGAGAGATTGTCTTACTAGGATTGTTGTAAACCTCCAAGCTCATATTTCCTATAACTAGACTGAAGTAAACATTTGAATCCTATTCAGAACTATTCTGCACAGTCTAAGTACTGATCTTACAGAGTTGAAAACTGTAAACTTGTACTAAAGTAATTTAAATGTTTTATGCTTAAAATGACTATAATGATTGTGGTCGGTTTGGGAAGATTAAGATTGGCAAATCTTGATTCACAGACATGTTAATTGTAATATTTTCATAAATTAGTATTTTCATTTTGTAATGTGGTTTAACGTCCTTGTTGTTTGCCAAAGAAATTTCATTTGGCTGTGAAAATTCTCTTTGCTTGCAGTATCTGTTTCTCTTCCTAGGCTCACGTTGGTGACCCAAGCCTATTGTAAACAAGTGATTATCTCAAAGGGAGATGCCAATGGAGTAACAATTTGTTAACATTACGTTTTCTGTCTGTATATTTTTTAAAAATTTGGTAGTTTCTGGAAAAAGAAAAAGAAGGGGGTTTGTAGTACTTAACCCTATTTATTTCTGTATATATTTTAGTTAATTAGTTTTTGGAATAAATGGATTTCAGTATAACTTTGTGGTTAAATTGCATTGCCTTTTTTATGTTTAGGCTTATTTTTAAATTAACATTTAACAGAAACATTTGAAATAGAATTTGCATGTCTACTTTAATTAACTTAAAGACTTGATTTTAATCTGACTATGACACTGAGCATACATATTCTTTTAATTATTCATAATTTATAATGTTTAATATAATGTTAATTAAATGTAGCAGTTTTAGATTAAGTTGTGCCATTTTGTCCTCTGTGTGTCTGAATGAAGCTATAACATTTGCCTTTTTATTGCAGGTTTTCCTTTGGAATATGGATAAGTATACCATGATACGGAAACTAGAAGGACACCACCATGATGTTGTAGCTTGTGACTTTTCTCCTGATGGAGCATTACTGGCTACTGCATCTTATGATACTCGAGTATATATCTGGGATCCACATACTGGAGACATTCTGATGGAATTTGGGTGGGTACAGCATGAATTAATTGTAGTCTGTGGTTCATCCCTGGCTATTAGTATAGCTTTTAAGAAACTACATGAAAAGAATCATTAACATGTAGGATTAAAATTGTAGTCTATCATTGGCTTTCTTGATAACAGATCATGTAGTTATCATTCGACAGTATACGACTCTGTAGAAGTGGTTAATTATATTTAGAATTTCATGTCAGGGTTTTTGAAAAACAATTGAAACTGACATTGGAGTTAATCTTAGTCTGTTGAACCACATTGTAAAAAGGAGATTAGTAATTCTTTTAAGGTTCCTTTCATTTGATTTGGATCAGCTCTACTCACTCTCCTCAGTTGTGGTCATTAAGGCCAATTTAAACATAATTCAAAGACAGATGTGCTTTGTACCTGGATAGTTTCGCTTCTTGAAGTGACTCATTTTCACTGAAAACGTTTATTTGACCTCAGGCACCTGTTTCCCCCACCTACTCCAATATTTGCTGGAGGAGCAAATGACCGATGGGTACGATCTGTGTCTTTTAGTCACGACGGACTGCATGTTGCAAGCCTTGCTGATGATAAGTAAGTGTGTGAATTATAGTTTGACCTATTACTGTCTTTTAAAGATTTCCTTTCATCTTTCTACTTACTGGAAACATTTTCAAGCCTTAAAAAAGCCTTTCTGCAGTGCGGGTTTTAATGTCTCTTTCTCTAGACAAGACTTTGGGAGATGTGTGTCTTGAAGAATATTGGCCTGAAGAAGAGTATCTGCAAACCAGAGATAATCCGTGCCTTTCCCTGTTTCTTGTGTGTTAACTAGTGTAGGCAGACTGGGTGGATTTTTAACTAGCTTTTAGCTCACAGATTTATTTTTCAGTAATAGCTTGTAAAGATTGAAGCAGAAGGGCATTTTCAAAGTGAAATAAATAGTAAAAGCTGAGTCACCGTGTCCACTGCATTTGCGGCTACAAGATGAAATGTCACCCGAGTAAGATGTACTGGTACGATTATTGGTATGAAGCAGAACCTAGGTATCACCATTCCTTTTTCTCATGCTTTTATTATACCATGTGCATGGCACACAGTATTAAGTAGTTTGGTCACATTAATTCAGAAAGTGAGTCACTATCGTTTTTCCAGAACAGAGAGAGTTTTGTTTTGTTTTGTTTTGCCAGCAATCACTGTTTTCTGTTTGTTCAGATTTTGCATATCCAGTCTCTATTTCTAGACACATTCTACCTATGTGAAAAGGCTTTTTAAATGTGTCGGAAAGAGAGTAAAACCTTTTTGCCTTTTGGGGAAATAAGATTGGCAAATCTTGATTCACAGACATGTTATTAATTGTAATATTTTCCTAGATTAGTCTTTTTCATTTTGTAATGTGGTTACATTACATAATGTTAATGTTAACATCCTTGTTTGCCAAAGAAATTTCATTTGGCTGTGAAAATTCTCAGAGCAGATATTAATTGAGTATAAGGAGAAAGATTCTGGTTGTGACCATTATGGATCCGAACACTGGGAAGGGAAGGCAGCCGTACATTATAGTCTCTTAAGTGTGAGTTGATCCAAATTACTGATTGGTATGGGCTAGAAAATATTTTATAAAGCAAGTTAGAGTAATTGAGTTAGCGTAATTGCTTGCTGCAGTGATGTGTGTGTGTATCTATGTGTGGTTGTGACTCAGAGTGGCATTTTTTATCTGAAGTATAGATGTTGCTTTTACCTTAAATATTCTGATGCTCACTGGATAACTTATTTCCTTTCCAGAATGGTGAGGTTCTGGAGAATTGATGAGGATTATCCAGTTCAAGTTGCACCTTTGAGCAATGGTCTTTGCTGTGCCTTTTCTACTGATGGCAGTGTTTTAGCTGCTGGGTAATTTGATTTTTCTGTTTTCTTTTAGAGGCAATTTAAGGTGGCTTTTATTTATTTATTTGACAGAAAGAGAGGAAGAGCACAAGCAGGGGGAGTGGCAGGCAGAGGGAGGAGAAGTAGCAGGCCGCAGGGAGCCCAATGGGAGACTCAATCCCAGGCCCCTGGGATCATGACCTGAGCCAGAGGCAGATGCTTAACCGACTGAGCCACCCAGGCGCCCTAAGGTGGCTTTTAATCAAAGCAGCCAGTATTTTATTATCACTAAATCTTCCATAAGGGCTCTTTATAATACTGTTACTTTGTCATAGAGGAGATCATTGGTTAGGCCTCCTTAATTAGGTTTTAATGTTTAGTTTGTGACTCTCATACATGGCCTTGGATGTTAGTTGTTCGAGCGGTAGGATGTTGAAATACATGTACGTAGGTGACTGAGCTTGTGTTTTTTTTTGTTGTTGTTTCTGTTTAGGACACATGATGGAAGTGTATATTTCTGGGCCACTCCGAGGCAAGTCCCTAGCCTTCAACATTTGTGTCGCATGTCGATCCGGAGAGTGATGCCCACCCAGGAGGTCCAGGAGCTGCCAATACCTTCCAAAGTTTTGGAGTTTCTCTCCTATCGTATCTAGAGGGCTCACGCTTCCCTGGTTGTAGGGTCTGATGGAGCTCACTTGACACAAACCTCAAGCTTGACTGACTTCAAGTATCTGTTTGTCAAGGTTTAGAAAATTTATTTAATTTGATACATTCTTGTAGTGCATTTTGATCATTTGAGCATATTAAAATATTATTTATAGACTATAGGAGAAATATTTCTGGACATATCAAATGTAAATTTTTTTTTAAATTTGACTGTGAAACCATATACATACATGTATATATTTAGATATAAGCTGCTATGTGTTGAATGGACCCTTTTGCTTTTTTCACTTTTAGTTCCAACATGTATATATTGCTTCAGTAGAGGCACAATATCTAGCTTGCTGTAAAGTGGAAGGAATTTCCACCACCACCACCCCCCCCCGGGCCCCTGCGTTAGACGGTAAATACTGGCTGAAGAAAGCAATTGGGGGTGGGGGTCAGGCATCTGAACTGCAAGTAAAACCCAAGGGGAAAGATTTTGTTTTCTTTAGGAATGGCATCCAAGAGGTAGAATTTGAATGTGACATTATTAAATAAAAACAGAGCCAGGGTATAACTAGGAAAAGGGTGTGTGTGTGTGTGTGTGTGGTGTGTGCGCGCGCGTGCGTGTGTGTGTGTCCTGCGTCATCTCCCCCCGCCCCCGTAACTATATAACCATTGCTGCGGGCCTTAATTTTGGAAAGCAGCTTGCTACTTTAACCCCGTGGTATAAAGTATTATCAATTTTAGTCAATTTGAAAAATCCCATCTACTGTATTATTGCTAAGTATTTTGTTTGTACTAAGGGACAATTTTAAGACCATGGTTTTGCTTGTTTTTTTTTTTTTTTTTTTTTTTTTTTTTTACATGTATCGTATGTTTCTGCAGGGGGTAATGTTGGTGATTTGCCAAAGAGAAGCAATACAGTAGATCTGCTTTTGCCTTCTGTTATTTATCTTACCTGCAGATATTAAGAATGTATGCATTATGTAAAATGCTTGATTATATATTTTTGAGTTTTTTAATTAAAGACTTGTAAAAAACCACTATCACAAACGTTTCTTAAGTATGTTGCAAAGTTTAGTGCTTTTTTGTGTGTCCAGTGTAAGACTGATGCAGTACCGCAGCATATTAAGCAAGAAGGGTAATGAATAACACAAGTACTACTTTAGAGTTAATGCTTCATGAATGCGGCCACTTTTATGTTGATTTGTTCTAGGAGAACTGTTGTAGTAATTATTACTTTAAAGGCACAGAAAAGCTCTGGAACGGGAAAATAACTGTTGAGCAAAAGAAAAAGATAATCTTTTAGGGGAACCAACAGGCTTATAGTAAGTCTATCTGGTTAAAGTAACCAAAGGAAAGTCTAGTGATGTGGGCCTTTTGAGGAGGCAGAATAAGCAAAACTTATTCAGTCACATGTGCTCTTTTTTAAAAGATTTTATTTATTTGACAGAGACACACACAGCGAGAGAGGGAACACAAGCAGGGGGAGCGGGAGAGGGAGAAACAGGCTTCCCGCTGAGCAGGGAGCCCGATGCGGGGCTCGATTCCCGGCTCGATCCCAGGACTCTGGGATCATGACCTGAGCTGAAGGCAGACGCTTAACGACTGAGCCACCCAGGTGCCCCCAGTCATGTGTGCTCTTGAAGACTTGGTCGTTGCCACTGAAATTATCTGGAAGTTCTTACAGTTGGCTCTGTGAAGGGTGCAAGTTACAAATTTGAAAACCAATACAAAATGTGCCCAAGTTACTACTTGAGAATCCTGTTTTACAAAAACCACAAAAGCATCTTAATCTTTAAACCTGTTGCGATTTTTTTTTTTTGCATTTTACTTTGTAATACATCTGCTTCATAATTTGAAAATAAGATACCATTACTTATTCTTCACACTATGATATTATTTACTCTCCAACCGACATATCTGATCAGGTAAAAATTGCATTTCTGGAGGATGCATTCTCTGAGAAGGCCAGATTGCTTGCTACCTTTTCATGTGAAAATCATAGTGCCAAGGTGAAAGGGAGATTGCAGAATATAAGTGAAGTAGAAACACTCTTAAATTTCCCGTTTGTGGAGAAGATAATAACAGGATGATCCTACTTTAGAGTTGAGTGACCGAGGAAGGTAGGAGAGATGTGGTCGGGTCAGATTCTAGCTCTAGGATTTTACCAAAATGATACTGCTTTCTCTTGCCAAAAGCATGCCATTTGGAGAACTGGCAAGAGATCATTTATATTCAGATTTGATTTCCTATTTTAGTGCCACACAGGGTGCCTCACGCTCAGCAGTCACGCTGTCCTTCACAATTTCAGATGATTTAAATAACTTCAAATGACATTAAGACCTGTAATTTGACCTTGGGTTGGCATACCTTAACTTTATGATCCTTGAAGTCCCCTGCCTACTTGTGACAGAGTAAAGTTGGATTCAGCTGGTTTGTACTGCCCTCAGGGCAAGACCAAAAAAGGCTGGACTTGGCTGTAGCATGTTTGTGGGTTGAGGCAGTGGCTGATGGGTGCAGAGGACTTGGCTATCAGCCAGCCCTCGGAGGAGAAAGTCCCAAGTATGAGAAGACGGCATCGTCTCCTAAGCCAGAAACCTGGGAGTGAATCCAACCGTCAGGTGAATCAAGCGAAGGTTTGTGGGTGAAATTTTTATCCAAGTAATTCTGACCAGGTTTGGGCCTAAGAATGCATTTTAACTATAGAATGTATAGATTATTAAACACAAGTAATTCCTACAGTAGAGTTAAATACCAGTTTCTTGTATGTCAGTTTCAAAATCCAGCCAAGCATCAATTTGGAGTATACTGGTTTTTTGTTTTTAAATCCCCTTGGAAGTAAAAGCTGTTCAAATGCAACCTGGAGAAATGGCCATCATAACCTTGGCTTACATTAATGGTAAGATGTTTGGGAGGAATAAAGATCAGTAGACAATTTCACCCTGCCCTTTGCTCTGAAAAGCTTGCTTTTAGCCAAAGCAAAATATCTGGTTTGAATAAGGTGTAAATTTATTTATTTATATTATGGGTGGTTGGGTAGCTTTGTGTGGTTGTGATTTGGCATTTATTATATATGTTTAACAGTTGAGTCAGGAAAAAAGATTGAGGCTGGGACTGGGAAGGGAAGAGCAATTTCATTCAATTTTTTTTTTAAGATTTTATTTATTTATTTATTGAGAGAGAGAATGGTAGAGAGCACGAGAGGGAAGAGGGTCAGAGGGAGAAGCAGACTCCCCGCTGAGCAGGGAGCCCAATGCGGGACTCGATCCCGGGACTCCGGGATCATGATCTGAGCCGAAGGCAGTCGCTTAACCAACTGAGCCACCCAGGAGCCCTCATTCAATTTTTATTAACTGGCATTTTCCCTTCTGGAGACGACAACTATGATTATCCTTGTGGTTTCTCTTTCAGAGGTGATAGAAATCTAGGAACTGTCTCTACCTGTAATACTGCAGGGAATCACTCTTCTGGTCTGAAAATAAACCCTAGACTTTGTTTAGGAAAACGTATAATACAGTGATGATGGTGATCATTTTTTTGTTTTGTTTTGCTTTAAATGAGGCTGAAGCACTAATAACTCTCTTATTCCAAAAATAAAGTGTGAACCATAGAAATGAACCTCTAGTATAGGTCAGGAAATAGAGTTAAAATGAGTTGGTAATGAAGACAGATGAAGTGGTGACTCCAATAAGTGGTTTTGTATATGTTTCCCAATTGCTCTTTAATAATGAAATGTTCTTGCAGGAAAAAAAGATGACTATTAAAAGCAAGTTGAGAAAGCTAGTGAGAATGGTAATAAAACAGGCTGGGATGAGGCTGATAGAAAACGGAAACCAGGGCACCTGAGCATCTGCCTTCGACTCAGCTCATGATCCCAGGGTCTTAGAATCAAGTCCCTCATTGGGCTCCTTTTTGGGGAGTCTGCTTCTCCGTCTGCTGCTGCCCCTTCCCTCTGCTCGTACTCTCTCTCTCGCCAAATAAATGAATAAAATCTTTAAAAAAAAAAAAAACAACGGAAACCATAAAGACCCAAGTTTGCACTCAGCCTAATCAGCTCTAAGGCAAAATGGGAAGCTCCCCCAGTAAGTCACATGATTCACTGAGTCTGTCTCATACCATCCTTTGATCCTGAATTGAGGAGAGCACAGTTAAAGCGTTCTTAGGACCAGCAGGAATACCTCCTTAGCCCTCCCATAGGCGGCAACTCTGCTAGAGCGCACAGGTATCCATCTCTGTTTTCCTGAACTGTCTCCCGCCTCTAAGGCCCCTGAGATCATTTGGCAGGAATGGCAGGTTTCAAGCTTGAGTTTAGGAGAGAAGCCGCAAACATTCCTGTGGGCCTGTGGTCCAAGGGTCTGGAGCCCTGGGTCGGGTTGTGTCCACCATCACCTCCTGTGGCATAAGCCTGTTTTCACTTGTTCTACTGAATTTCATGGCATTCCAGTTCTTGCAGATATTTGAGTTTATGACCCATTACATAGATGGCCTCTCTTTGGTGGTGGCAGATACTCTGCCCCAGCCCAAAGCGCTCTTGCCCCTTTTCCTCGATTCCATCAGTCTTAATTTCTACACTTCTTCCTTGGCCTTTTCAAATATGCCCTGTTACTTGTTACTGCTCCTTAGGTATTGGTGCCTCAGTGAGAAGACAAATGTCTTCAGCCCTGAGGGGTCCTGTGGCCTCCTAAGGGTTCTGCTGCCCATGGCTGGCCTTTGGGTCCCAGTGAGAGACAAAGACTAGCCCTGGTCCACAGGCATGGAAGTACCCCGGTGCTGGGGCGTTTGGATGAGAGGCCCTGAGCCAACCCACCCAGCTGCTGCTAGGTGGAGAGAGCAGCTCCCTCGGAACGTCTGGGTCACGTTGCTCAGCACCCGGCAAAGATGCAGTCTTCTCGGCTTGGCCCCCTCAGTCAGAAGGGTGTTTGTACAGCAGGTTGGCCCAGTTCCTCCACCCTGGGGCCTGCTGCCCGGAGGACTTTGCAGAAGCGCCGGCTGAGGCCTCCAGCCCAAGGTTGATTGCAGCCTTGGCTGCTGAACAGCTTATAACTTTGGGAGCTTTGTAATAAGTAATAATGCCTCCCGAGCAGTGTTTAGCTTTTATTTTGTATCTGCACAGTGTCAGGTATGTGGTAGGCATTCAACGTCTGTTACTACCATTTGTTGAGCACTGGCCAAGCCAGTGCTCATTACTATTGCTGCCTGGTGCTTGGCAACAACTCAAGTATCACTATTCCCGTTTTACAGCTATGGAGGGCCAGGGAGACCAACTTACTTGTCAGGGTCCTACAACTGAGAAATGACACCCAGGATTTGAATTCCTGTCTCCAGGGCCCCGTTTCTCTCCATGATGGCCACAGATGGGCACAATACTTTAGGTAAGGCATTCAGTCAACACAGATGACTAAGCTAGTCCCTGCCTGTGTCTGCCAACCCCCCTGGGGTCAGCATGCTGTCAGACTTAACCTTTCCCCAACACATCTAGCTTTTCACTGAATCATGGAAAAAATGAGCATAGAAGGAGTGACTCCATATTTAATTTGGAGATGGAAACCCACACAGACGAGAAAATGACTGTTGAGCTCTGTCCTTTGCCCACTGCCTGGGGGAAATTGCACTGGATGTGGGTCAGTTTCATCCTCCCACTGTTTGTCTTAGGAACCTATCTCGGGTGCCTGGGTGGCTCAGTCGTTGAGCGTCTGTCTTCGGCTCAAGTCATGGTCCCAGGGTCCTGGGTTCGAGCCCTGCTTCAGGCTCCCTGCTCAGCGGGAAGCCTGCTTGTCCCTCTCCCACTCCCCCTGCTTGTGTTCCCTCTCTTGCTGTCTGTCTCTCTCTGTCAAATAAATAAAATCTTTAAAAAAAAAGGAACTTCTCGCAAACAAATCATTTTTATTACCCACGTGAACAATCAAACACACAGGCTGAAACAGGAAGCAGCAGAGCAGTCACTGGAGATGAGAAAGTCAGCTGACCTCACAGCCACTGGCTTGAAAGATCAACACCAGGGCTGGTTACAAGCTGCCAAGTCCAGGGGAAACCTGAGCCCCTTGCA